ATGATATTTAGCAAGTTAATGTGGTTGTAGTGAAAGACTAAAGGTGTTCTAACAAAAGGCTAACACTGGAAACGCCAGTGTTAGAAACTCGTTATGGTGGCTAATTTGCATTATCAAATCAGTCAATAAAATCAAATTATCATGAAATAGCCCCCACTGATGCATCACCACAGTTTCTTTTGAAACTTGTTCTTATTATTCAAAGAGTTCTCTGTAAGCCAATTGGTAAAAGCATCAGATAACAAAGTTAGTTTTGCCCCTCTGATCTTCTTATCGTTGTTTTACCCATAAGACCCAAGTACCTAGTTGTGAATGCAGATGAGGGAGAACCAGGGACCTGTAAAGACAGAGAGATCATGAGACACGATCCACACAAACTTATTGAAGGTTGCCTGGTGGCTGGTGCAGGCATGGGTGCCAGAGCTGGTAAGAAAATCTACCCGACTGAACAGTCACGAGCTTCCGTAGTTGGTGATCGTTTCCTTTATTCTCAAGACCTTAATGTGTGATTTAGGGGTGGTACTGTTTGGAGAAATGACACGCAAGATACTCTTAAGGTTCACTGTACATTTTAAAGATTTGACACTTCAATCAGGGTCAAAGTTAGTTGCTACATTATGTTTGAAGAGTTCTATTTAAGTGAAGAAGAACAATTCTGTACTCATTACCATCAGAATCATTTACAGACCCCCTCCCCCCCCCTTCCTGTTCAATGTTGCCTTTAAGTTCATGGAATCATGGTACAACATTGTTTTTAACTTAACAAGGTCAAAAGAGCTAAAATTCAATGTGTCAACAATTTTGTCGCCAGTGTAGGTTTCTACAAGCCTTCTGGTAAAAAGTTTGATAGGATTATTTCTGTCAGAGGCATTTTTAGAGGTAAATCAGAAATAGAAGTTTTTTCCCCAAATTTTCATGGAAAAAAGCTCTGTGATGCTATCATAAAGAAAACAAAAAACAAAACAGAAGGTTTAGATATTTGTCAACTTCACAGCATACATCTACATCCGAGGGGAATTCTACAATGAAGCATCCAACATGCAGTTGGCGATTAACGAAGCCTACAAGGAGGGGCTGATCGGAAAAAATGCATGCGGAAGTGGATATGATTTTGATGTTTACATGCACAGAGGAGCTGGAGCATACATCTGTGGAGAGGAAACGGTAATGTTGACCCACTGTCCAATTTTCCTTTTTTTTTTTTTTTTTTTTTTTTCCATTTGTGAATACAGTGTCCTGGTTTGATCCAGAATTTTTCTTAGGAGGGGTACTCTGCTGAGGTCTTAGGAGGGGGGGGGATACATCTCTGAAACCCTTCGTTAGAACCACCCTAAGTATTTTTAAACATAATTATGTGAGGACATTGTGTAATTTTATGTTATTATTGTTCTGAATTGCTTTTAACATCTCTTCAACCAGGCGTTGATTGAAAGTTTGGAAGGGAAACAAGGAAAACCCAGACTTAAGCCTCCTTTCCCTGCAGACGTTGGTAAGACTTTGTAACATTGCAGGAACACATCTTTTACCTCCCCCTAGAAAGCGAGGAAAGGAAACGTTTCCTACTCAGGCCAAGCCACCTGCATATTCGGGCCTCTCCTGATACCTGCAGTGCAAAGTGACTGGAGAAGGAGTTGATCCTCGCTTTGACAAAGGGCTAATGCTTGAAACATCGGCCTTAGAAACTCTTTGCAGTGGCTTATTAAACTTTATAACATTGCTTTACAAAAGCGCGCTCTCTGATTGGCTCATACGCTCGATCCATTTGCCCGTGGGTTGGACGCTGACGTCAGTTTGGTTTGCTTTTTTTGTTGTTGTTTTTTTTTACGGCAACTTTTTCGTCGATGTTGCCACTACACACAGCATAATTCCTGTTTTTTGTAGGATTTTGTGATTTTTCCGGAGATAAGGAAGATAATTCTTGTGAGCTGCCAAATTTCAAGCTCAATGTTTTTGTCGGGCCTCCAGCTCAGAGTTCGAGTTTTGTGAACTTCAGCGAGCAGGAGCTTAATCAGCTGATTGAACAATTAAATATTCATACCCGAAACGAAAGATGTTTCAAAGTCGCAATGTTATAAAAGAAATAGTTAGCGTGCAGCGTGCAACCATCGAGTTATGGATGCACTTAGGAGGTTTGCTAAGCACGAAAGAAGCTAGATTCGCACTCGGCTATCGCCTCGTGCGACTCTTACGCTTCTTGCATGCTTAGCAACCTCCCAAGTGCATCCATCACTCGATGGTTGCACGCTGCACGCTAACTATTTCTTAATTGGAATAGCTTAAGTCTAGAACTCAGGAATTCTGTATCATTAGAATCTTTTAAGAACAATTATAGAAACAACAGAAACTACATCATTTTATTGTCTAACATATGATTCATCATTTGCTCTCAAGTTATATTTTATTTTTACTCGTATTTCGTCTTCTTATTAGATAGATATTCCTAGTTTTTATTGATAGTTATGTTAGAATTCAACAAACATTGCTTGTTAGAATTTTGTAAATAGATGGCCACAAGCTTATTAGTTACTTCAATTATTCCGGGCCACCCTCTCTACATAAAGTGTATCTATCTATCTATTATCAATAGGTCATTTTACAGTTGTTTACTTAGTTGTTAAGCCTTTGATTTGGAGTGAGGCTAAAGGTGACCTTGATTTGATAGAGACCAGGCTATAGTTAGCATGATAACAAAGTAATTTGCATTCGAAAAGCAGCAACTTCTGTATGTTAACAAGGTCGCCCTTTGCCTCACTTTTGTTTAAAGGTTTGGAACCCATGCATACAACTGTCAAATGGACTATTCGGTTGATAAAACTAAATTACTTTCAAGCGGTATTGTGAATGTGAATATTTATCAAATGGAAATGAGTTGGTTCGGCTTTTGTTTTGTTTTGTTTTGTTTTGTTTTGTTTTTTTTTTTTCACATTTGCCGATTAGATATGTCTCTTTTTTCCCTATTAGGAGTGTTTGGCTGCCCCACTACTGTGGCAAATGTGGAAACTGTTGCTGTTGCACCGGTTTGTATTTCACAGTATAACATGTGATATTTCACTCATCTCATTCTCGTTCATAGCCGGGGCTGTTTGAGTCCAGGTTCTTTACCCCAGTTCGTTGAGTTTTCTTTCGGCTATCTTTTGCCGTGTATCGCAAGGCTATCCTGTCGCGCAGGCAAACCGTTGTTTTCTGTTTGGAATTTTTAGGCCATTTGCAGGAGAGGAGGTGACTGGTTTTCTTCGTTTGGTCGACCAAGAAACACTGGTACCAAGGCAAGTGTTACAAAAAAGTCTATTTACCTTACCGCTTACGTGTTTTGCAGCATTGCACGCACTTGAAGTGCGTGCATTTCCCACGCATTACGGGTATAAAAACTTGCCTATCGAGTGTCGCTACACGAGTGTCACGCGTGTGAGAGGGAAAAGGCCGCCAAATTTTGCCCTTCTTGGCGTGGAAATCGAAATATTCGCAGGTTGAAGCGCTGTTGTTTTTTTTTAAGTACACGTACTCTGAAGTTTGAGGTGAACCTCTTACCACACACTTCAAAGCAGATTTTGGCTATCACGTAGATCGTGATACTTTCGGTTTATGCATTGCAGATGGTTACATTGTTATTTGAAGTATTTATTTTAATCGTTGTTATTACTCTCCTTTTCCAGTTATTCAACATATCTGGTCATGTTAACAATCCGTGTACTGTCGAGGAAGAGATGTCTGTTCCCCTAAAGCTGCTCATTGAAAAGCACGCCGGAGGAGTACTTGGTATGCTTTCTTGAAAAGAAAAAAAGTGTTTGAGTGACACTCTGTGTTTTGCGCTTGGCTGCAGTAAGCAACAAAGTTGCATTTCAATGTATTTCTTGGAAAATTTTCTGTACAATCGCAGTGCAACTTAAAAATGCTGATCCACTTTAAATACATGCAATCGTGCTCCGGTTTAGTCTACAGTGCAGGCGAAGTATTAGGGCGAGTTAACGTTGCGGCAAAGGAAATGAAAGTGGTGTATGATAAATGTTTCCTTTGTTTTTTGGTTCGTTGATCTTCTCTCCCCTTTCTCAATCTAGTTGGGACAACCCTTTGACATTCATTAAGACTACGAGATGAAAATGGTGTGTAGTCATAAATGAATATTTTTTGTTTGCTGATCTTCTCTGTTCTTTATCAAGGTGGTTGGGACAACCTTTTGGCAGTTATTCCAGGAGGCTCGTCAACCCCGCTTATTCCAAAAAGGTGAGGTGCTACAGGTGATGTGATTTTGTCGCTAACTTGGAAGGTGGTCGACACTTTTTTAAAATTTGATAGATATAACCCTGAGTACAAAAAAGTCTAGTTCTCGTACTCTGGAGATAGTAAAGACGTTACCTTTTTTTAGGCAGGTTCTCCTGAAACTTGTCTTAAGTGAGGGTTAACTGGCACATTTAGAGGAGATTTGCTTACAATTAACCGTTGGAATAGTTACTTCCCTACTACAGTGTATCTGAGGTTCTTTCACTGGTTGTAAGGATGGTACATCTCTGTCATGATCGAGCGATGTGGACCTATTAGTCCTAAAGAGTGATTAACATCTAGTTTCTCCTTACTATATCACCACTGAATCAAACATCAAGGTCAGGAGAGTAAAGCAAATGATCACGAACTAAGGAAGCTCTTGATTGTTAGACAAATTCTCTTTGACAGCTTTTAAGGAAATGTATAGAGAACAGTATGGGGAATACGCCTGCTGATGTCAGGGTGTAAAAGACTGAGCCGTTTTTTTGTTTCTTGTAGTGTTTGTGAGGATGTGCTGATGGACTTCGATGCTTTAGTCGAGGCACAGACTGGTTTGGGAACTGCTGCCATTATCGTGATGAACAAGCAGGTAGTTAAAATTTGCAGAACTGAAGGCTACAAGCCCTAAGATTTGATTTATGAGTCTCGAAGAATTTTAAGGAAGTTTGGTTATAACTCAAGAAAACACCCTTTCGTTAATACTTTTGTCAGCTCTAATCAGTAGTTTCGAATTCGTTTGTATATGAATATTGTATATTTGAATTGCAGTTTGATAAATTAAGATGACAGTGATCATCGCATTAGCAGGGCTCGACACTAGCGGTAGCCAACTACTCACAGACCAGTAGAAATTCAGTTTTGGCTTGTGGTTTTCTCTTTCCGCTCGCCACTTTGGCTGTTAAACAAACTGAAATTGTCGCAACATCTAAGATGTCACTAGCCACTTGGCCAGTAAGTTGAAAAGTTAGTGTCGAGCCCTAATCAGTGAACACTACTTAAAAAGCAGTGGTGGAAACATGCATACTTAAAATTGTCAAGTGGTTCAAAACTGTGGCGAAGCACAATGTTTGGGTGGAGACAAAAGCTTTTGCTCTTGTAGAAGTCATTCGGTTTCAATGTATGTTACTGCAAGGGAGATGTAAAGTGGTATACCTGGAACTATAATTTCAATTTTCTTACTCTGAAACGTTTACTTGTTTGCCCTTGTTGAACGAAAGCAAGCATTCCCACGTAATGTCCTTCTCTCACGTTTGTCCTCAGTGCGATCTCATCCTTGCCATTGCGCGACTTATTGAATTTTACAAACACGAGAGCTGTGGTCAGGTAAGTTATATTCGCTCCCTCTACCACTTTTGTCGCAAAATGACCGGTATTTTAATATAAGGTGCAGTGATCCAGCAAGTCTTCTTGCTCTAATGAAGGGGCTCACGCTTGAAACATCAGCTTTTAAATTGTTTACGGTGGCCAATTTGCATTATCAACTCAGTTGTGAAAACCAAATTACCTTGTTACCCCCACCGACGCAGTACCACAGTTTTAGAAACGTATCCCCTTTATTCTTGCAAGTCGTCAAGTTGGAAGTCTGTGTGAACATGCCAGCGAGAATTAATTGTGTCATCAGGTTTCAAACTTAACCCTTTAATACTTAAGAGTGACGGGCATGTAATTTCTCCTTGCCACCGTACCCCTGAATCACACAGTAAGGTCATGGGAACAAAGGAAATGATCACTAACTAAAAAGTTCTTGATTGTTAAACATAATAATAATAATAATAATAATAATAATAATAATTTTATTTATCCTCGAATTTCAAGGTAGCACGCAAGTGCTAATATCCCCGAGCAACAAATAAACTTAGACTAAATAAATTCAAATAATGATGGTTTTTGAGGAGAGGGGAAAACCGAAGTATCGGGGAAAAACCTCTCGGAGCAGAGTAGAGAACCAACAAACTCAATCCACATATGACGTCGGGTCCGGGAATCGAACCCGGGACACATCGGTGGAAGGCGAGCGCTCTCACCACTACGCCAACCCTGCTCCATGTCAGCACTTAAGGAAATGATCACCAACTTAAGAAGCTCTTGATTGTTCAACAAATTCTCCTTGTCAACACCTTGGCAAATGTGTAGAGAACAGTATGGAGAATATGCTTACCGATGTTAGGGTGTTAAGGGTTTAAGTCAGTGATTGTACCATTTTCGTTTCCTTTTTCTCAGTGCACGCCCTGCAGGGAAGGCTGTAGTTGGATGACTACTATCATGTACAGATTTGGTAAGTTGTCGTTTCATTGCGAGATCCTCCTTTAGCCAGAATGATTTATAATCTTACTCCTATTCGTCGTTAGGTTCGATTTTTGCTGGACTTTCGATCGGTCTCTGTTCGAGTAGTGCAGGCTCAATTCCAAACAGTGGCTAAATACTCACCCTGTGTCGTTGCTTGGGCAGCTACGTGTCATTCTCACAAACCTCGTTACAAATCTTCCTTTTTTGTCCGCTTTTTTTTCTGTTTTGTTTTGTTTTGTTTTGTTTTTTTTAAATCAAGAGTGCTGTATTAAAACCCACGTTCCCCGCATAAGTTAGCTATTTGAAAAATTATTCAGTTTTCACCCAAAATTATGTAGAATAAATCTGTGGCTGATATTCCGCAGTGTGATTTTTTCCTTTTGGGTTGGCGAATTATTTCTAAGTATCACTTCCTTGCTGTGTTGTTCAGGGCTGTTTGAATGTTGTGGGTTTATTTTTAATTTAACTCTTTTTATTTTCTACCTTCAAGTCGAGGGTAAAGCAACACCAGATGAAATTGACATGCTTTGGGTAAGTGCTATCTACGGTAACTGCTGAAGATTGTGTTACGTTTGTCTTAAGTGTGTGAGAAAGAAAGCTCTAAGCCCGGCGTGAGCATTCGAAATCCAACCTTTTCTAATTTCGTGATGGGTCTTCCATCAACTGAGCTTCGGTGAACTTGCTGGCGCGCTGGACACTTGATTCATATCTGAGTTTAAGTGCTCAACCAAATGAGCAAATGAGATTGTTAATCGTGTATAGATCGTACTTGCTTCCTTGCTTGCGAGGAGTCATGGAATATTAAGATATTTTCTCTCTCTCTCTCTCCCATGTTTTGGTTTCCGTTACTTCATCACTTTCATACTGTGTTACCCTCAACAGGAGCTCAGCAAACAGATTGAAGGGCACACCATCTGTGCATTGGGTGACGGTGCTGCTTGGCCGGTGCAGGTGAGGAAGTTTTGGCGGGAAAATTTCTCCACCCTCAGGCTGTAATTTCGCGCACTTTTAGTTTCAAGTTAACAGGGCGATGATGCGCGCGCCACTTAAGACCGAGGATTTATGTTCAGTAAAATAGAGAAATACGGAAGAAAAAAAAAAGGATGACAGAGGGTGCGGGAAAAAAAAAACAGGATCGTAAATCGTGGACTCGAAAATTTTTGGCTATATTTTTCATGATGGACAAAGCGAAACTATCTCCTTGAAAACTTGGACAAAGACATTGTAGTGGTAGACAGCACTGTGGTCTAACGTCTGCACATGTACAAACGTTGCAATGACTAGATAGGGATTTCTCAGGCTGTGAGAAACAAGTTGTCTCGCACGAGTTGCAAACAACTACCCAAGCTAGTAAGTCGCGGTGCTTTAGAAGCGTATAACGTTTTTGGTAAAGCTCAAAACAGAATGGTAAATCCACAGGATTCCCTTGCTTGAATAAGCTTTTTTCCCTATTTTTTTTTTCCTTTTACAGATTTATGTGAACATTTGAATTATCTTGCGGTTATTTTGCGAGACAGTCTTTGTCTAATGTTTTCCTTTCAAATTTTGCGCGGGAAACTGGCGCGTGGACGGCCAAAATTGAATCCCCCGCGCGTGCCCGACGTTGTACCGCTGTGTTGCTGACGGACCACTCGCTCGATTGGCGCTTGCATTCATTGCGTTCAGCGAACATGTCCTAGGGGAGCCTCTACGGAAGAAATGGGTCGCAGAACGAAGGCAACAGACGGAAGCTAGATTTGTTTGAAACAGCCGAACAAACTGCTCTTGTTTTTGTCTTTTCAGGGATTAATCCGCCATTTTAGGCCAATGCTGGAAGAGAGGATGGCAGAATACGCCGCCAAACAAGAGAAGGGCTCCACAGCAGCTTAAAAATACAGACGTTAATTCAGTTGGGGTTGACTTGTACAGATTATCAAATAAGTGGGTTTTTGTAGACTCGCAAAATGACCTTCAAAAATGACCTTCAAAAATTTTCTTTTTTACTGGAATACTCGTTCATTAAGAGTTTGAGGTAGAACGTCAGAAGTTTGTACGTTTACTGGATCGTAAGTGTCATCCTTTTAATTGCGGTGGAAAGCGCAAGATTAGTTGTTGATAAAATGTAAACGCTTTTTTGTCTCGAAATTCTGCTGGTTTTGTCCAGTTTGGGATTGCAATCCTAATTAAAACGAAGGGTTGAAAGTTGAGTTGATCCTGTAATAGCCTGTTAGCCACCTGCCCTAATTCAGCGCCGCAAGACGAGCGTTTCTCTGTCACCGGGAAGATTTTAGACGAGTTTGGGGTCTGCACCACTTGCAGACCTCTGCCCAGCTAGCGTTGCTCCAACCTCGTTCCCAGGATCTCTCATCTTCCCGTCCCCTTCCTCGCTTGGGGGAAGACGATAAAAGACCTTGGGAACGAGGTTGATGTCATTTTAAAAAGCGTCAAATGCACATGATGAAGCTCTATTAATGAGGGTCTACTCGTACGCTATTCTTGTAAGAGCTCAGACCCCTCGGGAATGTGTCGCAGCAAACTGCCAGGCCGAAACCTGGTAAGAGTGTGGTGATATCTAACAAAGAGTTTTCCAGCCCTCATGGTGAACAGCCAAGACGCTTTACAGTAGCGAAACGGAGGATTTGCTTACCTAGAGGACGAGTTGTTACACTACTCAGTGAGAGCCTTAACTGTGTCGAAGCAGCTAACCTTGATTTGATTGGAGTGATGATAAATTGCTCAACAAATACAAGAGCTTGCACGGTATTTGGTTACCTGGAATTTGGATATTTTGTCGACAGTCGCAGCCGAAAGTGTATGAAAGCGATTTTTCAAAACTGTTCCTTTTGCAACTTATTGCTTTTTCATCTTACGACCTGTCTTTTGTCTTTCCGTCAGGGGATTTTTAATATTTCTTTGTTTCTGCGAGGTAAAGGTAGACGTTCATACCTTAGTAGACAGAAAATTTCACAAAATTTTAGAAGAGAAAATGTATTTGAAAAGATTCAGTTTGAGTTTGTCTTTTGTTTTGTTTTGTTTTTTTCAAAATTCCTTTCAGAGAAATTCTGGAAAAACTTTATATGTTATGTACAATGTAAATTTGAACGATTGTTACCAACAGATCATAAATATTAATACTTTCCACCGGTTCGCGTTTGTCCCAATTTCATTCCTCGATAATTTTATTCTGCGAGAGCTGGTCTACTTCGTCCGTCTGTGAGTTACCACGCAAGTCTTCCTCATTAGGCTTATCTGCTTCGTGAGGTCCTTCATCATTTAAATTTATCTTGGTACAGATAGTAAGCAAAAAGTAGAGTCTACCAGATAATAAAATCTTCAAGAACCTTAGAACACAAATCACCAAATACAATCCTGAATGTTCCGCGTCTAACATGACCAGACAATGATATGGCACCAAAGAAAAAATCTTCAGTGGGTACAAAACAAGTCCCAGTACAGTAGATGCAGTCATATCTCCAATAAGCAAGGATGAATCCAAAGTTAAAATCGAATGGTGTATACGTCTCGATGTGCGTGCGAAACCGTCGATTATGTAAACCAAGTCGCACAAGCATACCAAACACGCTAGTAGCAAACTGGAGTTGTACGTGTTCATTCTTGCGACACACCAGCCGGCTAGAATAGCGTTGGTGACGTAGAAGTCCCACAGACCGGATACAATTGAAGCAAACGCGGTCATAGTGATAAATGCGAAGAGAATACTGTTGTTTTCGTTGGGTTAAATTAACAAAATTCAGCGACAAAGAGCTGTTTACTTGAAAAAATGGCGCGCGCATTTTGCGTTAATGATGTATTCAGGAATTGTTTCGTGATTTGACTGCGCTCACAAGCGCGTGCAGTCGGGAACATTGCTCAAAACATCTGGTATCTGTTGGAGTCACGCGACAACTCTTTTAGTTGATGACTCGGAAAACTGGACCTTGAACATTGCACTGTGTTATGCGTGACAGTCAAAGTCGGACACCATCCACTCTAGTCTCCTTCGCAGCTGTTCCTTTCCTCTTTCGCCGGGTGGTCACGCAACACTCCCGTTTCAACGGAGGCCACATCCTGCTGCATCCACACTCGCGCATTTAACCTTTTCCAGGCGTGCAATTAGTGAAACGGCGTGATCACGGTGGCGGACTGGCATCGAGTGAATAAACGAGAGAGGCCTGGGTCGCTTCACGTTAGAAGGCCCTATGTCGTGTTACCTTGCACTCTTTTACATTCGCGTTAGAAGTTGCCTTGCACTCTTATATACGTTGGTGTCCTTGTTAAAGCATTAGTGTATGTTTTTTTTTCTTTCATTGATATACTTCCCCTGAAACTTAGCGGAACAGCTAACAATTTTTTAAATGAACTTCGTAATGGGCCTTGCTCACCCTGGCCTGGAGTCTGGCGCAGTCGTAGAG